TTTTAGGTTTTTAAAGAATTAGGATTTTAATTTTAAAGTATTGTAAAGCGCCATGGACAATTAGTGGAAAATGGCGCTATATAAATGTATATTTATTTAATATAACGATCTTCTAATTTGACCGCCATGTAAATGATTGAGAATATTGAATGGCATCTCTGTCTTGGTGCTGCTGATGTACACGCAAAAAGTGGCTTCGATCTTTTAACGAAAATCCCCAATTTTAAAAAATCAATCCTTTGCAAAGATTACCATAAGTTGCGAGTGTTTTCTGTTTAATACAACCTCCTTACGTCTCAACGTAGTTGACGAGGAATATTTTCCACTATCCTACTTACATTTTCACAGAAATTGCAAGAGTACAAGTTAATGGTGTTCAACTCAAGGATAGACGAAATAGCACAAGCCTTGCTAGAAAGAGCACTCCTCAAACGAAAAGCAACAAGTTAACCGACAGCGGAGGAATGCCTTCTCTCCCTGTTACTGGTGAAAAGGCTAAAAAGAACTGCTGGATGTCTAGCCTTGCACGAGCTACGAACGGAGTGAAAACACGTGCCATGTCTGTTGAGAACTTGGAAGGGTTATCACAAATGTTTACGACGCCACCTGCAGTTCAGATGACTAGCAACAGTTTTTCCGGGGAAAAACATTCAGGCAACTGGTTATCTAGTCTAGCGAAAGCAACTATTGGTCCACGCAAACGTGGTATGCCTGTTGAAAACCTCCAAGGAGTTCCTGAAATGTTCGCAACACCGCCATCGGCCAATGCATGGAGTGATTGTTACAGAAGAACCTCAATGAGGTCTATGCCGTCCACAAATGAGGAAGCCATGGTGGAAATTAGGGAAGTTGCATCTCTTGACACACTGCAAGTTAAGGCTGAGGCAGTAAGCCCTGATAAATCCGAGCTACACATGACAGAATCCTTGGCACCTACAAAAACGCCTTCTTTGAGAAGTTCTGAAAAAGATACTACCCATATTGGAATATTATCACCCATCAAGAGTTCCTGCACACCTTCTTTGAGATCAGGAAGAAAGCAAACTTCTAAGTATGCAGTCACTCCGAGAGCAATGATTGAGATTAGAGAAGTATTGAAACCAAATAAGACGCCATCTCTTCGTAATTCAGCCGAAGATACCGTCACAGTCCAGGTTGTAACTCCAGTTCAACCCTCTCGCACTCCATCTCTTCGATCCGCCAAGACTCAGCCATGTATCCAGAATAGTGAATGCTCTGACCTTGAACTGGCGATTGTGCAGCCTATAGCACCAAGTAGGACTCCATCCATGCGTTTTTCAGTTGAAACAAAAGTAGTTTTACGAAAAAGCACTGGAAGCCCAACTGAAGACCGAAAAAGTCCAGGTCTGCGAGGACTAACGCGATTAATGAAGTCTCCAAAAGAAAGCAACTCCGCAGAAAGTGTGGAAGATTTTTTCGTTCCAAACATGTTTGCATCGCCCAAACCACAACCCAAACGCTACTCGCGCAAAAGTGAAGGTTTGCAAGGAGTTGCGAGACTGCTAAGAACACCAGATGCCGAGAATGAATCAACTGGAGAGAGCCCCAAACTTGACGGTATAAAGTCGATGATGCAGCTAGAGAAGAGCCTAGCCAGTCCTCATTTTGTTGGACTTAAAACGCTCATGAAAACACCTAAAATTTGCCAAAGGCATGTGGATCCTGAAGAATACTTTAGTACAGAAATTTTCGCTTCACCAGTGCAAGATTCTTCCCAAGATACAGCCCAGTCGGCAGCACGAGAAAGAACGGATAAGAAGCGCTCTGTACCAGTCATTAAGCCAACTTCTTCAAAGACCGAAGCAACGACAGCTGAGCGATCAGGAAACATTGTTTTCGAAACTTTACCGAGAACAACACGATCGAAGCGCAAGGCTCCCGAGGATTCAGTTGAACCAGTGTCTAAAAGAGTTCGCCGCACACGTGCCACAGTCAAACAGCAAAATGAAGGTAAAACTGAGGCTCGCTCCAATTCAAAAGCAGGCCAAAAGAACACAGCTGCGAAAAGTCAAAAGAAAACAGCAGCAGTCATACAGGACACGCCAAAGCCATTTGTGTTCAAACGGACCAAACTGGATCCTATCGCTGAAGTTCAATCTCCCTTGCCATCATTTGATGATGCTACTGAGATCACTACCTCGTCTTCGTTGATTGAAGAAGCTGAGAAGGCCTCAAGTGAAGAAAGAAAAAATGGAAATGCGTCTAAGACCAGAAAGCAATCAAACGCACCCATAAGAAGTTCTCGACGCGGAAACCGTTGTAAAACCCCAGCAGAGACACCTGTGGAAGAGAAAGTAGCAGAAAAGTATTTGGAAACGAGGAGCAAGAAAAATGAAAGTGTTATTGAAGACAGTACTAATACTGGTGACTCACAGAAAGCTCCTGTAAAGACACCAGAACCGAAACGTGAAAGAAAAAGAGCAACACGTAACACTAAAGCCAATGGAAATTCGCTCAATACCATGGCACCGCCAATTAAGACAAGAAGGACCCGAAACCAAAGAGCTGAAATTGCTGATTTAGAAGCGGAAGTGGTAAATTGTAACTTTATTGAAGAAACTGGGAATAATCCAGCAACAAGGCGGACTCGACGTGCAGCTAAGACCAACAATGAACGCGCTCAAGTTTTAGGGAAGACCAAGCCTACTCGAAGCACTGGCCGTGAAGAAACCCTCGATGAAGCTGCAGATCTTTTGCCAGAAAATAGATCCACTCGTACAAGTAGGAAGCAAGCAAACAAAAATAACGTTGTTGAAAATGATAACTTAGCCCGAAGTACTGGACGAAAAAACAGTGGAAAAGAGGAAGTCAAAGAGCTGAAGAAAGAAGTAACAACAAATAAGATGAAACATCCACCCGGAGCAAGGTCAGCTAGACGGACAAGAGGCAATTCCGCGCACAAAGCCGACTCTGAGGGAGATGACGCTTCTTTGGAAGAGAAAAAAGAAGTCCGACCGGACAATTGTTCGAAGAAACCTCCAGCAAAGCGTGAACTCAAAAGAAGCACAACAAACGAGTCCAGAGAAACAATGTCAACAAGAAGCAGAAAAACGGCTGAAGATCAAGTCGAGTTTACCGAACAGTCTATGCACTCTAAGGTCGGAACCAAAAGAAGTCATCAAGTGAATGCTGGAACACCTCCGCCAGAGCCAAAAAAAACCCGCGCAAGTGTTCGAGCTCAAAGTGGTCCTAACACGCGTATCACTAGATCACATTCACAGAAGTAGTGTGGACATTACACAACATGACATTACGTTGATTATTATGTTTACGTTAGTGATGATATAGAGCCTTTTACGGCAGTGTTTTTAAATCTAATGTAAATGTTTGATTACAGTTGGAAAGAACACTTAGCAGTACATTTGCATTTTATTTCTAGAATCTCCAGTCAGTGATGAATAAGCCAAACGTCTCGGTACACTGTAGACTTCAAGTCAGTATACTTATCTAGCAATCTTATGACATATAACAGTAAATCATCTCACTTTTCTTAAAGATAAACATATTTACCTTTTTATAATGTGAATTGTAAAACCTACCTAATTTTCGAACAAACTGTAAAAGATGTCTTATCTTTAGTTATTTTAGAGGACAATATATTTCATATAATCTCTCAAATTTAGCATCAAGACTATACGAGCTACGTCAGCATTTTTTGTTTTTTAACTTTGAGATCACATTTGATTTTGACGATTGTTGGCAATCGTAGCGAGGAGATGTAAATGGCGTCGTTCTAGCGCGACTTTCCTCAATAAGTCGAGAAAACCAACCTATGGTGTACATATAAGGCTCTTAGAAAAGTGAAGAGCGTTTTGTTTTGCTTATTAAAAACATTTAGTCAAAAAGCCATTATTCTCTTTATTAGTCTTGATAACCCAGGTATACAAGGTAAAGAAATCAGATTTTAATGCAATTTTGAAATGCGTTTCATTCCGTCTCTCCTCCAAGGCTAGCGTGTAGTACTCTAATCTTCGCCCACTGAGAATTTGGCTCAACTGATAAATAAAAACAAAACAATAAGATAAAAGAGAACGAGGAATTTTGATGTCTTAGATAATGAAGGCCTAAAATGGCAATGAAACCATCACTACCCCAATAAGGACTGAACAAGTCTTGAAGTTCTATCGAAGTTTTTCAACAACTTTGTGGTAAATACTGGTAGTGCGATGTTGCAATGTTAACCAAATGCTGGTTGAGCCAGTGCCAGTAACAGGCTCTTATCTCCGAACATACAGCTGCAGATGTTTTAAGAGGCCTGTCCAAACGGGAAATGTTTGGCGACCAAACACTATCAAACATTGTTTGGTGACCAAACATTTTACCGTTTGGCCACCTTGTTTGATCGTGTTTGGTCGTGTTTGATAACATTTGAAGACCATCAAACAAGTTAAAACTTTTCTTTTGTTCTCGTGTTGGATGGGCGATGTTTTGTTCGCTTGGACAGCCGTATCAAAACATGTTTGGCGCGCGCATACGTACCACGCGTGCTCAGCGGCTTGTATCCAAAGTTTGATCTATTCTCGTCCCCTGAGCCCACGATCCTTCTGGCCTGCGGCAGGGATCAAGAGCTCTGGCCAGACCCGATTTTCTGAGCATGCGCAGAGTATTCGTTTCGTATTCTCAGCCAATCAGATTTGACGGGAAGTCCGTGAATCACGGACTTCCGGTGTTGGACCAGCCCAGAGCTCTCGATCCCTGCCGCAGGCCAGAAGGATCGTGGGCTCTGGGGACGAGAATGTGTTTGATCAAACATGTTTTAACCGTTTGGCCACTCCCTTCAACATCAGCATGTTTGGTCACCAAACAATGTTTGATGATGTTTGGTCGCCAAACATTTCTCATTTGGAAAGGCCTTTAGGTTATGCTTTCGCTAACGACGTCTAAGGAATTCTCTCTTCAAAGTGATAAAATTAAGCTCTTGGTATTTAAAAAAAGTTTCCAGCGAGTCAAGTGCCTTTCCACATTTCATTTGCTCACCTGGGTGATCGATCCCAAGAAATGTCATCAGTTGTGCTGCTTCATTCTCCTCCCATGCTGTCCAATTCTCCACAGAGACAGAGGTTAAGCAGTCCTGGAGACACGATTAAGTTAAATTCACTATTAATGGTAATGATGGCGACAATGACAACAACATACAGTTAAGAATTAGTTCACGCTTAGCGTGCTTCTATCGAGTTATGGATGCACGCGGAAAAGTTTGGAGAGCACGAAAGAAGCGTAAGAGTTGCTCGAGGCGACAGCCGAGAGCAACTCTAGCCTCTTGAGTGCTCTCCAAACTTCTTAAGTGCATCCATAATTCGACATACGCACAGCTAAAAGCATGAACCAATTCTTTTATAACATGGCGACAACAACTAGGGCACAAAAACATGTTTTATTTGTGATTGACTACAAAGTTCTCACAATGCACGGTGAAGAAAAACAATAGACTGTTCACAGCCTCTCTATCTACGCACGCGAAAGAAAAAGCGAGCGCGAGGCACCCGGGGGTGGGGGTTGTGATTTGCGAGCGAAGCGAGTAAGAAGAATAAAGAGGCTGTAGATAGCCTGCGAACAGGCTCCCGGCGAGGACGGAAAAAAATTTCGGCGAGCGCGAAACAAAAGAATTCGGAGAGCAAAGCGATCGGGGCGGGGACATATCCGCCCTTGGTGATAAGCCTGTAACAAATCAGTCAATGAGAGAATTAGACCTGTCAAGAAGCTACATTTTTGGTACTTGCAAACAGTTCTAATCGAGCTAATCAAATAGCTGAGGCCCTGTTAGGGGGGGTACCCATGTCCCCTGTCTGAAATTCGCCACCAGCCATGTCGGCATTTCACAAGATTCCTATGTCGCCTGTCGGAATTTC